TGTTATTATTGTTGTTTTGTTTTTTTGTTGTTTTGTTTGATGTTGTTTTGAAGATTTATTTGTTTTGAAACAAATCTAATAATAACTTTTTGTTTTCAAAACAAACTTTTTCTCCAATCAAATCAACAGCAAACCATCATTACAAAATTCTTACAATAATTACTTAAAACTTCAAATTTTATACAGCGTTGTTTAAATAAACAATCAATAATGACGATTTTTAAAATCGGAAGAAGAAACCATCAGCCTTTGAATAAAAATTAGCTGGTACATTTTTTTTAAAATTAAATACGAATTTTCTGAATATAATTAATTATTGAATAATATTTAAACATGATGATAAGGTGAGACCCAAATCAACAATTTTTCACAACCAGATCATATTAATTGTGATTGTGGCGCCAAAAATAATTCATGTACAAAATAATAACACGTTACATTCAATTTGAAATGAATAAAAAAAATTCAAAAAGCCTTTCAACATTTTATCACAAAAACATCACCAAGACATTTAGAGATCGGAATTGATAAACAACATTATGCCCAAATCCAATCATACGACAACATCGTCTAATGGATCTTCTGCTACCACCTCATCACAACATTCTCTTCCAATATCATCATCATCAAAAACTTACACTGACTCATCTTCACATTTAAATTCATTTAGATTTATACCTTATCCTATACCACCACCACCATCATCATCTCATCATTCTCATTCTCATCCTCATCATCATCAATTACAACAACCAATAATACCACCACCACCACAACAACCACAATATACTTTTAATAATTCAAATAGAACAACAAATAATGTATTTCAACATCCTTATAGTTTTTTCATTCCACCACCACCACCAACATTATCACATCAAACAACAATACCACCACCACCATTCTTTTCATTAGCCAATCATCATCATCATCCTTTTATTTCTCCTCAACAATTATTTATTAATAATAGTAATAATAATAATAATAATACTTATAGACCACCCATTCCATTATCATCCATGAATAATGTTATGATGATGAATCAACAATCAATACCAACAACACCACCACCTATAACACCACCACCTTTAATATCAACAACACCTACAACACCAACAACAACACCACCACCTTTAATATTTCCTTCACAGCCTCCATTACCACCACCACCACCACCTACTACTACTAATTCATTAACATCATCTTCTACAACGATATCAACAACACCCAAAGCAGTTTATCAACATTTTATTCCTCCACCACGTCCTATTCCACTCATTAATAATAATACTGCTACCACTACCACCACTGCAAGTAAAACATCAATATGGAAACCTCCTACAAATATATCATCATCAACATCTAATAATACTACTACTAGTACAAATACTACTACTACTTCCAATAATAATAATAATAATAATAATAATATATTGAACAAGACACCATTATCTTCATTACCTTCATTCATTCCACCAACAATACCAAATGTAAATACTTTTATACCTCCTCAACCTCTTTCTAAAATTGTTAATCATTCTACTAATAATACTACTTCTAATAATAGTAATATTAATATTAGTAATAATAGTAATAATGGAATATTATCAAAAAATGATACTAATACTAATAATGGAATTAATTTATTAAATAATGTAAATATAACATCATCTAACAATATTACTTCTTCTTCTTCAAATAATAATAATAATATAACAAGTAATATTATAAATAATACAATT